TGTTTGAGCAGTTATGGGTTGCTAACTTAGCCAGGCCCTGTTGGGCTCTGCACGTGATTCTCAGAGCTTCTCACTGAATGTGCAAAATTAGAATGAATATTCCGCTAGAACATGGAACCATACACCGCCATATGTTTTGTCTTTTGTGCATGAAGTAGTGGACCGAGATTTAGGGCCACTCCACCTATTCCTAAGAAAAGAAAAACAAAAAAAAGAGAATCGCCTGCAGAGATCTGGCCTAGCGAAGTTAGTAACCCATAACTGCTCCACAGACCTGAATTCAAATCCAGAGCATATATTCGGCCTGCCCACACCTTACTCATGCTTCAACGACCATCTCTGCTTCATGATGCGCTCTTGCCAATTTTTTGCAAGGGTCCTTCGGAAAAGAGATTGGAAAATAGAGCATGCACACACAGTTTTTAGGCTTAACGTGGCCTCAATTCTTTTTTGTTTCCACTCGGATTTGCAGAAGGGAGGGGACATGTTTGGTCATCACACCCTGCCCTTCCCGAATTTTTTTACTGACCCCTATTTCGGGGATGCGCCGCATCACCTGCGCCGCATGACGTGCGCGTGCGCTCTGCGCCGCATGTGCCGCAACCCCGCGCACGGGATGCGCCGCAAGTATGCTATATACAGGAGTACATACTCTTAGTTTCAAATTTCAATTTATAATAATTTATTAATTTTTTACAGTTTTTAATTTTTCTTTTTTTTTACTCCCAGGCAATAGTTGTTTGTATTATTATTTTACATAACATTTTTTTTTCAGTTTTTTTTTTTTTTTTTTTTTTTAAACGTACGCGTACGCGGGTTTTTGAGCACGTACGCACACTCCGGAGTACGTACTCGTACTCCCTACATACCCGTACAGGGTGCAACACAGTTGTAGATTATATGTCATCAGTCACGACTTATTGAGCTTCCTTATTAAGCTTATGTTGTGACAGGTATGTTGAGATTTTCTAAGTCTCTCGAAGTATCGCGAAACTGAGGGTCTCAACCCTGATAGGCATCCTAAATTCGTAATAGAGCGATGAATGTCAGCTATGATGACACTGACTGAGAACTCACCCTTGGAGCTCTTTTTTTTATTGGACGTGTATTGGGTGTGTCCCGACCGGCCGCAGCAGGGCCTGAGCACCCACTTCCACTTGGCCCGATGCTCCTGCTTTGCTACGGGTTACAGGGCGGCACAACTCGCCCCAGCGCCTTACCAGTGTTGACTTGCCATGGCCGCCATTCCTCCTCAGGCCACCGAAAGTGACGGCAATGGGGATCGAACCCATCACCTGTGCAGTGCCCCTCAGGCATGAAACCTACTGAGCTAGCCGGCGGGACACGTGGCTTGATACCGATGGCAATTCATCTGTACTTCACAGCTCCAGGACGATGCACAGACTTCGGACTGAACTTTGCTGGGCACAGAAAATGGTCTACATGATGAAATGCAGGCCTGCAAAAGCACAGGCCTGCAAATGGCATGACAGTGGAGCCATATTGTTCCTAAATTTAGCACATGAACCCATCTCTGTTTCCTTAAAAAAATCACCTTTGGTCAGGTGTGCCGTCCCACGGGTAGTTGGCAACCACAGCGCCCTGCAAACATATGCCAGAACAAGATATGATCCAGCCAAGTTCCAGCGGAGCAGACAGATGATAATAACCATCGTAAATTCTACAGATCCCAGGAAATACTTCACGAATCATAACACATCAAGTTTCAAAATCATTTCCATTTCCGGCAAAAGACTTGGATGTGGAGCATTGTGGATAGAAAAGAGATGAGTGTGGGGATGCAGAACAGAGACCTCTCTCTCTCTCTCTCTCTCTCTCTCTCTCTCTCTCTCTCTCTCTCTCTCTCTCTCTCTCTCTCTCTCTCACACACACACAGCTCTGAGACACAAATCTCGCCCAGTTCATGTACAGACCACTACACAAGAGATAAAACATCCTCCTTCCTGGACAGGAGCAGCACCATACACCCAGGCGAAGATAAGGTCTCCTTGCTTCTCTACAGCTTTCTCATTCTGCCAGGTAAGGATGGTCAGAAATGAAGTTTGCCATGCCGGACAGTGAATTACATTGCCAGTAACCCCCTCTTCGACGCTCAAAGTTTCAATCTTGGCCACTACAACAACTCTTATGAGATCCTCATGCACAAGGGAGTACAACAATCATAGCTGGCCCTGATGTAAAATGACAAACAACAGCCATAGCGGCCATGGCCATCTTCATTCCAGGACTTTTTCATAGCTATGGAGGTCCTTGTTCCACCTCCACTGCTGCTCTGCCAACCTACCAGTTGAAAATGAACCAACAAAAGAGCATAACATCNTGCCAACCTACCAGTTGAAAATGAACCAACAAAAGAGCATAACATCCACAAGATTGCCCAGCAAGCAACTCTGACTCAACACTGCTCTTCCCTGTGTAGTGGTGTATACTGAAGGTCAGGTAAGTAGTACTAAGTACACAGCCTATCTCCCGTCTACCTGGATACTACTGGACTACATCTATCCAGCCTCTTCCCAAATCCACTGGACTTGGGGACTCGCTCCACTACACAGCACTTCATGTGTCTGAAGCTCATAATCATCCTGATACATTTCAAAAGCACCTGGTCCAGGAGGGCATTGAAACGCATGCAGTGTTGAGTAGTGGAGCGAGGCCCTTACATTTGGGCAGTAAACGGATAAACTGTAGTTGAGCAAGCAATCCACCCGGGACTTGTTCAGACGAAATACAGTCCTAGACCCTCCTGCTGACCTACCGTAAAGCCTACCGGGACCTACAGCACTTCCTGGACCAGAGAGAGAGAGAGGGAGAGGGAGAGGGAGAGAGAGGGAGAAAGGGAGAGAGGGAGAGAGGGAGCGAGGGAGAGGGGAGAGAGGGAAAGAGAGGGCGAGGGAGGGAGAGGGAGGGAGAGGGAGAGAGAGAGAGGGAGAGAGGGAGAGAGGGAGAGAGGGAGAGAGGGAGAGAGAG